GGAAATTCAGCACGCGTTGGGTCTCAAGGGCGACAAGCTCTTCAACACGTGTCTGTCATACCAAGAAGAGCCTCACGAGCTAAAGAGCCGGTTTAGCTCTACGCGTCCCCCCATGAGGCTCTCCTGCATTCAGGCTTTCAACACCCCCGACTTCGACGTCACATTTTCTTTGACCCTCGTGAACGGTCAGCTTGTCACAGGAGTCTCTCACAGGCTCATGACTCCTTCCCAAGCTCAGAACCTTACGAATACTTTTGGGCGTGCTGTTGTCGCCATAATCGGAAGCCCGGAAGGCGCGCTCAGCAGTATCGACCTTTTCACCGACAGAGACTATGCCCAGTTACTGATCCGGGACTGGGGAGCCGAGAATACGACCGAGCCTTTACCTGGCTGTGTCCACGCCCTGATTTCTCAACAAGCACGACTTCGACCAGATGCTCAGGCGATCTGCGCCTGGGATGGCGAGCTCTCGTATAGACAGGTCGGCCGCCTTGTTTCCCGCCTAGCCACGTATCTTACTCAATGGGGTGTTCGCCCCGGCGTTTCTGTTCCCGTCATTCTCGACAAGAACAAGTGGGCGGTCATCAGCATCCTGGCCGTGTTGAAGGCTGGTGGCTGCTTTGTTCCCATTGACGCCGAGGATCGAGCCAATGTTGAGACGTTCGTCCGCCAGCTTTCGCCCAAGGTCGTCATCGCAACGGACATGCTCTGGAAGAATCTGGAGGCCATTGTCGATGGAGTCGTAGTTGTGGACGATACGCTTTTTGAAGTTGACTTCTCTCTGGAGGCGCCTTTGCCCATGGCCGCGCCCAATGATGCCGCATGCATTCTTCTTTCTCCAGGCTCGTCCCGAGGCAGGGAGGCAAAGGGAATCATCTTCCATCATGCAGCCCTTTCTTCAGCATTCGTCACACAAGGTCGCGCTCTTAATCTTAACCAGGAGAGTCGTACAATGCAGCTATCGTCTTTCAATGTCGATACCGCCTTGATTGAGCTACTGTCGACGTTGGTGCATGGCGGTTGTGTGTGTATCCCTTCTTCCGTTGAGAGAACCAGCGATATCGTCGGCGCTGCTCGAAGGATGGAAGTCAACTGGTCCTATATGACACCAGTCCTGGCACGGAAGATTTCACCCGCTGCGATCCCCAGCCTGAGGACCATCTGCTTCAGAACGCGACGTCTGGACGAAGATACCTGCGCGCCCTGGGTGGCTAAGACGAAAGTCCTGCTGGCCTACGGTGCTCCTGATATCTGCCCTCTTGGTGTTTCCGTCTTGGAGGTCAAGAAAGCTGCCGATCTCACCCGAGTCGCGCCTCCATTCCTCGGAAGGTTCTGGATTGTCAACCCTGAAGATCATCGTAGGCTGATGCCCATCGGTGCCATTGGCGAACTCATCATCGAGAGTCCCACATTGGCGCATCGATTTGTCCCCGGCCAGCCCTTGGCGCATCTTCCCCAGGACTCCGATGTGTCACTCGAGGATGGCAAACCTCGGACACGTTACTTCAAGACGGGCCATCGCGTCCGATACATGGAGGACGGTTTGCTTGACTTCGTCTCCAGTGGCCGTGACGACGTTGAGATCAACGGGCAAATCATTCCAGTTGCTGAAGTCGAGCAGAAGCTCCGCCGATGTCTCGGCCAAGGCGTGGATCTCGCTGTTGAATCCATCATCAGCCGCGACGCGCAACCGTCCCTTGCCGCTTTTGTCGAGCTTGGAGAGAAGTTATTTGAAGGATCGGAGGACCTTACGAGGATCACAATCACCACCAAGGAGCGCACCTATATTGCGAAGAAGCTCATTGAGTCCTCGTTGGGAACTAGTCTGCCCTCACACATGATGCCAACCATCTTTGTTCCCGTTAGGCACCTTCCCGTCACACCGTCATTGAAGGTCAACCGTCGCAAGCTCCAGAAGATGGTCGGTTGGCTGTCGCAAGAACAGTTACAGGCTCTCTCCTCGGTCACATCGCCCGATGAAGTCCGCGTGGTCGGCATCAAGCCTCTTCCGCTGACTCAGGTTGAGGAGCGCATGAGATCAATCTGGGCGAATCTCCTGGGAGTAGAGGGTTCAGGCATTCGAGGCAATCAGAGCTTCCCTATGCTGGGCGGCCAGAGCTTTCTCGCAGGCCAACTGGTTGTCGCATGCCGCAAACAGGGACTCATCATTGCTCTGCCGGATGTCCTGCGTGGCGCCACCCTCACAGAGCTTTGCCAAGGCGTAACACTGAGCTCAGACTACGCTCTCGAGACTGCGGAACCGGAACGCAATGCTGCTCCATCCCTGGGATCCTCCTCAGAGATCCTTTTCGAGGAGCAGTTTATCAACGATGTGATTGCTCCGAAGCTCAATGTCGAACGAGACGCCATTAACGATGTCGCAGAAGCCTCTGCTACTCAACTCAAGTTTCTCGAGACCGGATTACTCAAAGGGAGCTCAAGCCTCACTTACTTCACCTTCAGCTTCACCGGTGCAGTCCAGACGAAGAAGCTGGAGGCCGTCTGCATCTGTCTCGCCAAGATCCACCCAATCCTCCGGACCGCATTTGTCTCCCACGAGAGGCGGGTCTACCAAGTTGCCTTTAAGTCTTTCGTCCCAGAGTTCAAAAGGATCGAAGTCCCGACATGGAGGGTATCGGCGATGACGGAGAAGTTGATCAAGAGGGATCAGACTGGCTCATTCAACTTGGAAATTCCTATGACCAAGTTCTTCTTCGTCGATGCTGGAAAGCAGTCCAATCTTGTCTTGCGACTTTCTGGAGCGCAGTACGACGACGCTTCCATCTCGCTTTTGCTGCAGCACTTGAAGAGCATTTACATTGCGCCGTCCTGTCCGCCACGAAGGGCGACCTACTTTGACTTTGTGCGCTCTGCTCAATTGGCTCATGCTACTGGTGCACAAGATCACTGGTCTTCCATGCTGGATGGCGCCAAGATGACTCAGGTTGTTGCCCACAGCAGGCCACCGCCAATGAGCACGAACGTCAAGACGATCACTCAGAAGGTCGCGGTTATGTCCTTGGCCAACTTGGGCATCTCATTTGACACTATCGTCAAGTCAGCTTGGGCCATGGTTCTAGCTAACCTTTCCGGCTCAGGCGACGTTCTCTTTGGTGAGATCGTCGAGGGAAGACACCTTAGACTGTCGGATGGATCCGATGTTTCTGGCACCCTTGGGCCAGTATCAAACGCCATTCCAGTCCGCGTCCGATTTGCAGACACTCTGAGCAGCCCCCTCGAGCTCCTTAAGTATGTTCACGGCCAACGTGTTATGAGCATTCCGTTCGAGAACATGGGCTGGCTCGAGATCGTCGAGAAGTGCACCAAGCTCCCGTACTGGACGCGCTTCAGCACAGTCGTCGAGCACCGCCATCAGGATGCCGCCAAGGAGGCAGCAGTCTTCAACCTCGGCACCATCAAGTGCAAGTTCAGCGTTCAGGAACCCATTAGCAGAGACGTGTACGATCTTCACGTCATTTCCACGCAAGAAGATGCAAACAGCGGCGATATCTCCATCACCTTCTGCGAGAACCGCATCCCGAGTTTGTTTGCCAATGAGACGCTAAAATCACTCTGCTCTAGCATCGAGCTTCTCACCTCGGTTTCTATGCTTCACCCGCTCATCCCCTCCTCGATCGACTACTGTGCCGTTCCGCCCCAAATTCCCTTGCCTCAGCTGGACATGGAGACGAAGCCGACCAATGCAGGCTCCAGCATTTCTGAAGACCACCGCAAAGCCGTGCAGCTCAGCATCTCCAAAATTTGGACAAAGGTGCTGGATCCTAGGTCACTCGGTGTTCCCGAAACACAGCTTCCCAACGCGGCGTTCTACGATCTTTGGGGTAGCATGATGCCCGCATCCCAACTCGCCGAGTGCCTCACCCAGGAACTGCCCAAATCAGGTCTTCCCGGGACTCACAACCTGTCAATCTCGATGGAAGAAATCATGGCGCACCCTACAATGGCGGAGCAATTCGAGCTTGTGGCCCGCAAGATGCGCGACGCCAAGAGAAGGACCATTGCCGACGTCCTCTCGCCAAAGTCCCACCCGGCATGGAGTCGCGGGCTGAAGCGACTTAGCACAACGGTGATTCGTGAAAAAGCGTCTCACCAGAGCGGGTTGAGCAGCATGAGTGCCAGCTCGTCTAGCTCGGTGGACGCTTATCGCGGCCCGGCCGCACAGCCACTACCGCCTATGGACTCTATCGCCGAGGGTGCCGTCAGCGGTGTAGGCAGCACTCGCACGGGGAGACCAGCATCGGCTGTTGAGCTGGAGGGCCCGAGGAGGCCGAGGCTGAGCCTTGCGGTTCAGCATGACGGGAGCAGCATGGAGAGCATGACGACTGGTAGTAGTCGAACGGACGAGGAGGGTGATGAGAATCGCGAGGTTGCGGAGAATGAGAATGAAGACGGCGATGTAGTTAGTCCTTTGAGTGTGTCGACTGCCCCGACTCCGGTCCGGGAGAGCAGGATACGGAGAAAGGCGGGGAGTGTACTGAGCAGGATCAGCCTCGTGAGTCCTGTGAGTGTCGCCGGGTCCAAGTCTTCTGGACCCCATTGAGTGGGCATGTGAGTGTACGAAAAGTGTTATTCTTAACGCCTTGAGAGGCTAGAGTAGTATACCTCGAAGGTTTCCTTTGTTTTTAGCGAGCAGATTGTTGCAAGATATCCAAGAAATGCAATCTACTTAGTAATGTTTGTTATAATGAGTCTCGAGCTGCAGCCTTATTCACTGCTCGACTCCGCCAATCGTGAAGTCGGACATCTGTTCCCTCCTACAACCTAGAATGAACCAATAAGTTTCTCGCTCCTGGTCAGCGATTTGACGGGCGCGTCATCGCGCCCTTTGGTTGACACATTGACTCCCGATCTCCACATCATTGAAAGAATGAACGCAGTACTCCGTGAACGACCTCTTATACGACCACGTTCACCTTTCAACGTAACCATCAGTTGGATTACTCTTCTTCATTTCAAGTAACATTCACAAGTCATTCATGATGTCCAAACTCCCTCTCAAATCCCTCTCCCTCATCCTCTCCCCTTACCACGTCGGCCAACTCAACAAAGGCCCCGGCGCCGGCCCAGCATTCCTCAAAACCTCCGGTCTCGACTCCACACTCCGCTCCCTCGGCCTCCCCGTCCACAAAGTCCAAGTCGAGCCGGTCGACGGCCACGAAGGTGAAATCGGACGCAGCTTCGAGGTCATCAGACGAACCGCGAATCTAGTAGCGCAAGAACGCCGCAGGGGTTCGTTCCCGATCATTCTCGCCGGGAACTGTAGTTCCGCGGTGGGCGTCGCGGCGGGGCTTCACGCGTCGCGAGCGTCTGGAGATGGGGGGCTGGGGTGTGTGTGGTTTGACGCGCACGATGATTTTAATACACCCGACACCGTTATGAGCGGGTACTTTGATTCGATGCCGATTGCCATGCTCGCGGGGCAGTGCTGGAAGGGTCTATTGCGGACGGTCCCGGGACACGAGGCGGTGGATTTGGAGCGGTTGGTGCATGTTGGTATGAGGGACGTGAATGACTTGGAGCGGGCCAGGGTGGAAGAGGCAGGGTTCGATGTCGTCTGGGGCAGCACCGAGAGGAAGGTTGATTTCGGTGCCGAGCTTGGGGTTGTGCTGCAGCGGAAGAAGCTTGGTGCTACGATGGTTCACTTTGATGTTGATTCTTTGGATACGTCCATCGGGCACGCGAACCGGTTTGCTGCGCCGGGTGGGCTGCTAAGGGAGGACATTATCGGGTGCTTTGAGGGGATTCCGGAGAAGACTGAGCCGATGTCTCTTACAGTGGCTTCGTTTGACCCGTCGTATGAGGGGGCTGAGAATCTTGCGGCGGTTGCGGTTGAGGCGATTAAGGTGTTTTTGCAGATGTTGGTCAAGTCTGGTGTGCTAGCTAAGCCGTGAGCTGTTTACATATCAGCAATATGATAACTCAGGATGCCAATGTTTGCTTTTCAGCAGGCTTTTGTCTCATTTCCTGCTCTCATTTGATAGTGGCTTTTCTTGATGGTTGGTCATATCACCAGGTCTCTGGCGCTCCGGGGCCTCGGATCGATGCCGGCATCCGATGAGTCTCGCTGGGGAAGATGTCAACGCTTAGCGAGGTCGAAATACCCGCGCGAGGAGCTCATTGGTTAATGAGCGGCGAGTCCGGTTCATACTGGTGTAGGTCTCGACTGCCGAAGAAAGATCCATGTATGTTTGCCTCCAAAGACTTTCGTTGACATTGAAGCTTGGGGATTTTAACAGCCTTACTCCCATGCTAATGCATGCAGACGAGCGCCCACCAGAATGCGCTACCCATGTATTGGGAGAGATGTCAGTAACATGGAGATTAACATTGATGATTTGAATTGGCGGTTACAGAGTAGGACAACTCTATTGAAGGGCGTATCTGCTCTTGTCTTCTCATAGCGAGGTGACACTTGTGAATAAGTACCTTACCGGGAGGAGGGGGCAGGTTACTTCTCCTATAATACTCGAGCTATTATCGACGGTAGTGGTTATATATACGACAGTTACTACCCGAATTATCGTTATTATATAGTTATTAGGAGTTTTAGGAGTTATAAGTAGGTTATATTCCTCCTATATAAATCTAAGTAACGATAATATTATATAAAAATATATAATTAATAATAAGTATTATATTAATTCGAATATTTTAAACGCCTTTTTTATATTATTATAACTTATACTATTTTCCTTAGAATTATTATAATATTAATACTATCGGTATATAAATATCGTAATATTACTATTACTTTTTAAAGCCTTTAGTAATCTCTTCTTATTATTAGTAATACTATTATTATTACTTAGGGAACCCTTTGCGCTATTAGTATTACTATTAGTACTATTATTAATATTATTATTATTACTCTAGCTATGCGCTTACTAAGTTAATATACTCTTTGTTACTAAGTTCGGGCTAAAAAAAAAAAAGATTATTAGTTAGTTATTTATTATTAGAGAGAAAGAACTAAAGGAAGACGTATATTTATTATTATTATAATAATAGTATCGTCCTTTTTAAACTCTATTTAATTAGTAAGCTATACCTCCGGGCTCGGACTAGACTTTAGTATAGGGCCTTAGCTAGCTTTCTTAGTTTTTAACTATTCTATAATAATTATTTAAGCCTTATTAACCCGCAAGCTAGATCCTCTAACTTTAATATTTTAAAGGGTATAATACTTAATTATAATATTAGTAGTAGTAACGGAGGGGCTCGGGCTATTGCTACTATTAAAGGTTATAATAAGTAAATAAGTAGTCTAAATAAAAAAAGATTAGTATAACTAATATATTATAATTTAGTTTAATAAAAGGGTATTATACTTAAAAAGGAAAAAGAATAATATAATATTTAATATAATATATATTTTTAACGTAATATATAATATATAATATGTATATACTTATAAATATTATAAAATTAGTAAGATAGATATAGTAGAGAGACCTATTATAGAACCTAGTGCCTACTTACCTATTTAGGGTACTAAAGTTAGAAAACCGCTCTAAGTAAAAGGGCTAGCGGAGTATTAAATACTATATAAAGTATTATATAAAACTTATTTACGGCTATATAAGTTACGAAAGAAAAATAGATAGTAAGGATTATTAAGTAGCTAGATAAAAGGAGTTATTATATATTAGTTAGTATATTAATAAATTTATATATTATTAAAATAGATATCGTATAGTTAGTTTTTATAATTAATATATATATATATAATTAAGGTTAAATTAGTTACCTATACTTAATACGTTTTTAAAAAACGGGCTATAAGTAGCGCCGACCCGCTTCTAAGTAAAGGACTATATATTAAATAGTATGCTACTTATCCTTTTTTATAATAGTTTACCTCATAACCTTTAAGCCTAAGTTTATATATTAATATATTAGCCCTCCCTCCCTCTTTATAGCCTCTATATTTTCTTATTATATATCCGTTATACTAATAATAAGCTATATTAGTCTCTTTATATTAAAACGAGAGGGTCGAACTCGAATAATATTATTAATACTATATTAATATTAAAAAAGATAGAAATAGCTAAGTACTTAAATAAGTATATATAAGCGGATTAATTATAATAAGCGCTACGCTACGTAAAAAAAGAGCTAAGTAAGGTACTAGTTATAGTAATAGTATTAGACTTATTAACCGATTTATAAATATTATAAGCGCTATTTATTTTAAAGTTATAACGAGAATTATTAATATTAATAATATTAATAAAAAGATTATATAGCTCGGTTTACGTAATATTATTAATAAAGTTAGATATAGAGAGACGATTATTTTTAATATTAATATTTAAAATAAAAGAACTAAGGGTAAGTTTAAGTAAATAGAAACTAAAAATAAGAGTTTAAATAATATAGTTAATAAGGGGCGGCGGGGGAGCCTTATTATCCTATATATAATAGTAAGTATAATACTTAATACTTAAAATATAACTACTAATAATAAGGTCTCTTTTTTTTTAAATAAAGAGCTTTTTATTAATATTTATAAAATATTTTATAATAATAAGGCCCTTATAAGTATTATAGATCTTAGTATAGAAATTCTTATTTATAATATATTTCTTACCCTTAAGGAGATCCTTATTAAGCTCTTTTTTATAGTTAATATATTTAAATATTATAAGAGCTAAGGTAGTAAAAACGATATAAATAAAGTAGTAAAGTAAGGACTACTAGTTAAGAAAAGTAACCTCGTAATTAATAAAGGATTTAGTAAAATACTAAATAGTAGTAAAAATAGTTTTACTTAGCTAGCTAAGTAGTAAGTTACGTATAGTCTAGCGAGCGCTAATATTATTATTTAGATTATTAAGCTTAGGGTATAGTTTAAAGACCTTAATATAATTATTAAAAAAGCGATTATATTAATTAAAAAAGTAAGTAAAAAGGAACTTATATTAAAAGTCTTAGTACTAAGTAATATATAGCTTACGGAGCTTAATAACCTCTTTAAATAATAAAATATAATCTTTAAATACTTTATAAATAGTATTTATAATAAACTTATTATTATAAAAAAAGAGCTAATTTTAACGGTATTCTAAATTTAACTTATTACGTAATATAATATAAGTCTCCTTAGGGATATTAATAAGAGCGTATACTATATTAATAATAATTATAGGGTTATTAACCTTCTTAATAGTAGTTTTTTTATTACCCTTTTTAGTTTTTTTAGGGGGGGTATTATTATTAAAAAGGGTAAGGGTATTATTATTATTAATAATAAGGTACTAGTTTAGAGTATTTTTAAGAGCGATATTATTAATATAATAAGCCTCGAAGAAGAAGTTAGGGTTATTAATAATTAAGGCGATAATATATTAATTATAGTTAATAACCTTAGTAATTAGAGTATTTTAATAAAATAAATTAGTTAGATAATATTAAAATAAATAAGAAGAGTAACTATTTACTTAATAAATAAAAAGGGTCTCTAGGGGAGGTAATAGAGCAGGGTTAATCTATATAGCCTCGGGCTTAGGCTTAGGCTCTAGCTCTTTATACTTAGGCTCCTTATACTTAGGCTCCTTATTATATAATTACTATTACTACTACTTAACAAAGAGGGACTTATTATACTTAGCTTAAAACTAAGACTAAGCTCTAATAAAACGATACGTATACTTTTTATACTTATTATTTCTACTACCTCTTTTAGCTTAATTATAGAGAAGTATAATAATTAATTATAATAATATAATAAGTAGTATATCGTAAGTAAGTAAAGATACGTAAAGTATAATAAAAAGGTTAAGTAATAAAAAGTAAGTAAGCTATTTATATCGATCTAATAAACTAACTTATAATAGTAAATATAAAAAAAAAAAAAAGGTTTAAAAGCGTAAGTAAAGGGCTAAATAAATTAATTTCTTTTATTCCTACTTAGCGAGTATATATAAATATAAAATATAAGCGGTTAAAAAAAAATTAATAAAGGGCCTAGGTAGTAATAAGTAAGTAAATTAATAATAAAAATATAAATATGCGCTTAGTAATAACAAAGGTATACCGGCTCGGTAAGGGCCCGGTTAGCTTAGTAGGAGTTACGTAACCCTATTTTTATAACCTCTTTCTGCTAGTTAATTACTTAACTTCTTAACCTCTACTTTTTTAGTACTTATTATAAATATCTTATAATCTAACTACGTTAAATTATTATTAAAAAAATAATATAATATACGAGATACCTCTACTTATTATAATAATAAGTAAATATAAGAAGCTTTTTACTAATACGCCTATAGACGATATTACCTTAGGTTATTATTAAAAAGCCCCTTAACTTAGTACTAGCGAGGTATCTTAGTTAAATATTAACTAAATAATCTTTTAACTTTAAAACAAAAATAGTAATATTAATATAGGAATAGAAGCTAATATTAATTACTAAGTAGATACTAAGATAAATAATAATAATATAGAGGATAATATAGAAAATAAGGGTAACGTATTTAATATAAATTCTATATATATTATAAGTAAGCTACGAGCCTTAATAAGGATAATTAGGATATAACTAACTATACTATACTTAAATAGCGTAATTAATTTTAATAATATCGACCTTAATAAAATTAATAAAGCTAGGGCTAACGGCGATTTACTAACTAGATTTAATAAAAAGAAAACTAATATTACTAGGGTATATAATAATTATATCCTTAAAAACGATATTAATAACCTAGAGACCTAGCTCTTTAATAAGACTAACGACGAGGATAATACTTTCTCTCTTATAGAGGACTATATTACTATTTATACTTTAAAAGAGTATATAATAATATAAGGGTTTTAAGAGCTTAATAATAATATCTTAAAATTAATCCCTTATTACTAAAATAAATTTATCTAGTTATTAAACTTCGAGCTCGGGCTTAGCCTTTTTTTTTATACTTTTAATAATAATCGTACGAAGTATACTACTCTTTACTAACTTCTCTTTATTCTTTTTAATATTAAAAAAGCTATTAAATAGGCTATTAAAAAGCTCTTTATATAGTTAGTATTCTTAAAAAACCGTATTTCTTAAAGGTTTTCCTTAATACTTATATAAAAAATAGAGGTATTACTAATACCCGAGAAGCTCTTTATAGTA